AGAGAATCCAGATATCAGTGAAATTCAGGACTCAATACTGAACAACTATGAAAGGCAGAACACTGAGCATCTTATGATGACAAGATCTAAGGCTGGTATATTCAAACCCAAGGTGTTCTCTAGCCTGACAGTGGAGCACAAACTGAATGAAATGGAACCTAAAAATGCTGCAGAAGCGTGGACAAACAAAAATTGGAGAAAAGCAATGATTGAGGAATACAATGCACTGATTGAAAACAAAACTTGGAAATTGATACCACCATCTCCTTCCTACAATATTGTAGGAAACAAATGGGTCTTCAGGCTGAAACAAAACTCAGATGGATCCCTCCAACGATTCAAGGCGAGGCTGGTAGCAAAGGGTTTCCACCAAACTCCTGGAGTCGACTTCTATGAAACCTTCAGTCCTGTCCTAAAGAGAGCCACCCTAAAAATCATTCTCACTCTTGCTGTTTCAAAGAACTGGAGAATAAGGCAAGTTGATATTAACAACGCCTTTCTCAATGGAGAATGGGAGAAAACCGTCTACATGTATCAACCTGAGTGCTTCATTGACAACTCAAAACCAAATTACATATGTAAACTTGAAAGGGCCCTCTATGGACTTAAACAAGCACCAAGGGCTTGGTATGACAAGCTAAAGAGCACTCTAGTTCACTGGAACTTCACGCAGTCAAAGGCTGATACCTTCCTCTTCTATTTCAAATCAGAAAACAACATCATATTCATCCTTATCTATGTGGATGACATCATAGTTACTGGGAATGACAACAACCTACTGCAGAATTTCATAAATGAACTTCACAGCAAATTTGCACTCAAAGACATGGGAGAGCTTCACCATTTCTTAGGCATTGAAGTCCACAGACACAATGGTGGTCTTCACCTGACTCAAACACGATACATATCTGAATTACTCAGAAAATTCGACTTCCAAAATCTCAAGCCATGTCCTACTCCCATTACTGTTGGAAGAACAATGTCAAAAACTGAAGGTGAAATCCTAAGAACTCCCTCAGTTTACAGAAGCATCATTGGAGGCCTACAGTACCTATCACATACCAGACCTGATATAATCTTCGCTGTCAACAAACTCAGCCAATTTCTGCAAGAGCCAACCACAGCTCACTGGCAAGCAATGAAAAGAGTGCTGAGATATCTGAAAGGCACGATCGATCAAGGACTTTGGATCAAAAGAAGTGATAACTTGATGATTAGTGGGTACTCAGATGCTGATTGGGCCTCTTGCCCGGATGATAGACGGTCAACAGCCGCCTACTGTGTCTATCTAGGAGATAGCCTAATCTCTTGGTCATCAAAAAAGCAACATGTTGTCGCAAGGTCCAGTACAGAGGCAGAATACCGAGCTTTGGCCTCCGCTGCATCAGAAATTACCTGGATACAATCCTTATTTAAGGAACTCAATCTAGTGCAAACCTCTAAACCAACTATTTGGTGTGACAACCTCAGTGCAGGAGCCCTTGCAGCCAATCCCGTTTTCCATGCCAGAACTAAACACATAGAATTGGATGTTCACTTCATAAGAGACAAAGTACTCGCAAAGGAGCTGGAAGTAAGATATGTCCCCACCGCTGACCAAATTGCTGATCTAATGACAAAGGGTGTTTCTCATTCAAGATTTGCCTATGTAAAAGACAAGCTTGGAGTGACAATACCTCCCTCCAGCTTGAAGGAGGGTGTTGGAACTCAAAAGAAGTCACAGCAACCACAAGCAGCACTCCAGCTGAGTGCCTCAACCAACTGATTCTAGAAGAACCTTCATTGGCCCCCTCACGTGTTTCTGTTAGCAACCACCTCTCTCTCTCTCTCTCCCAGCTGGTTATTAACCCGCAGTGTATCCTCCATAATTCATGGAATACCCTTGATCATAATGCATCTCTATACAGCTGAGATCACTCATCTAGAATATTCCTTTACCTGTATATATTCGGGCTTATTCCCTATTGTAAATTAAGAAATCAATATATCAAGTTGATACTTCATTTTGTTCTTCAAAGTTTAACTATCATTCTATAAATGCATGAAAACGAGAATTTAGTAAATTACTGTAACAGTCAAAAAATAATGAAGATTATGTTATAAAGCAATAAAATGTTGACCTTGAGTGTGAATGTTCTGAATGGTAATGATTTTGCTCCCAGGTAGATGCGATATCATTTCTGTTCTTGCAATCAGGTAATGCTTTGTTGAGGCTATGCTCGCAATTCGTTGTCGATTATCGTTGGTCCTTGTAATTTGCTATGCTAGGCTAGAATTTTAACTAATAAGATGTAGATGAACCCTTATCATGAAGTTTTTAATATAAATTAAATATTTTAACGTCTAATATGTGTGATTTCTTGGATGTGTTTTATTGCTTTTAATGCTTTTCAATTAATTGGCTACTAATTGGAATGATTTGTAAATTTTATTGATTTCGAGATAAAGAATAAAATATATAGCACTTATAACAAACATTGCAAAGTCCGACAAGGGATATATATGTTGCTATATTTTGCATGATTTCTATAGATGTTCTAACATTTTTAATGCATGATTTCATGTTCGCATTTTTCATGGAGTATAGGAACATCACATAAGGGGATAGATTTAATTAATATCGAGGGATGCTTTTTAATTAACTCAAGAACATTGATCAATAAGAATGTGCACATTTTGTCATAATATTGATTTGCATTAAAGATGGATTAATAAGGGGATCCAAAATCTTAGTATTTAATTTCTTGCATAATTTTATTAAAACTTTCATAAACTTGCTCAATAGAATAGTTGGTTAAAGTAGTTAATTAGCACAATATCATAAAACAAAATTTGTTATTCAATTAAAGTTGAATTTAATTAATCCTAAATTAAGCACATAGTTCTCGTAGGTACGATAATTTATTCATCACTTTATTACTTGTTCGCGATATCGTTCACTTGTGGGAAATCAAACGGACCAAGTTTTTGGTACCGTTGTCTGGGACTATTGTATTCAATTGGTTTTAATTTATTTTAGTTTTAATTTGAATTTTTATTACTTTATTAGCTTAATCTTATATTAGAAAAAAATTACAATATTTTTGCTCTTTCTTTTTCATCATCTTGTATAGAAAATTCAAGGCACGATGATCTTGATCAATTTGATACAAAAATCGAATGAACATTCAAGTTAACAAGAAAAGAACATATAAAAGTACAACAAAAATAACAAGCAAAATCAATGGCAAAAAACATACAAAATTAAGTGGTCGTTGAATTGAATGCAAATTCAGCACATCCAATTGTAGCTTGCGAGGAATGAAAATGAGAGATTTGTGGGAAAATACATGGTTCTACATTCATAGAAAGAGGATCCAATATAGCTTATCCAACATTTGGACAAACTAGTTTTCATTTAAGAACGGACTAGATCAATATGTTCCAGCATGCACTGCAATTCTTTGAGAAATCCACTAAAAATCCAAATGCTCACATCTTGAGATTTTTGGATATTTGCATATCAATTGAATATTCGAGAGTTTCCAATGATGTAATTCGGCTAAAACTCTTTCTTTACACCTTGAGATATTCAACTAGGGAATGGGCATTGCCACTTAGGAGCCGGAAATTCTTGAACATATACTTCCCACCAAAGAGGATTGTCAAGTACTACAGAAAATATCACTTTCAACTACCATAGAAATGGTCGTAGAATATACATTTTTGGTTGTTGATAAAATTTAACAAACAAAATCAGTTGGTCGTTCCTTGGTTGGCAAAGAGGAGTTGGCGAATGTATTTAATGACTAAAAGCATGTTTGGTCGTTGAATGTATTATTTCATCAACTAAATAATTGGTCGTAAAAAGTCTGTATGGACAACCAATTCTTTTTTCAAACAACCACTTATTTGGTAGCTATATCAACTATTTTTATCATTAAAATACAATGAGAGCAACCAAATTTTAGTTGTCTTTCATTTCAACGACGAAAGAAATGGTCGTAGAAAATTAAAATTGACAGCCAATTTTATTTCAACAACTACTTGATTTGTCGCTGTATTAATTAATTTTTTGATAAAATATCATTCAAACAGCCAAAAATTAGTTGCATTTCTTTTCAACAACAAAAGAAGTGGTTGTAAAAAGTTTATACTAATAATTGAAATATTAAAATAGGGAGAAATATAATTGTCAACAATAATATCAATGGATTCATATCTGTCACACATTCATATCATACTACAAGCAAACCTTTTCCACAGTCATAAACAATTATAAAATTGAAGAAAGCCAATTGTAAATAATATTAACAAGAACTAAAGTTTTCTTGGCATTGAATAAATTAAAATATCCCAACATCAACTACAAATAGATGTTAATTATGTGAAATATCATGACTTAAACAAAAGATTACATATAGTTTAACCAATTATGTTCTAAACATAAAAAACATGCAGATGTAGAGTTAGAAACTATTGCCCCAATAAAAAATAAATAAATAAATAAGTATTATCACGTCACCCAAAATAAAGTCAAAAATTAATTATCACCATTTAAATCATTAGATGGAGATGCATCAGGTTGAGTAAGTCAAAGAAGAAACTATTCTAGAATGCAATTTAAGATTGTTTGCACAGATTTCAATTGAGAACGAAAATCTTGAACTTCATTCCATAAAGCAGCATTCTCTACATAAGTGCCACAATTTTTCAACATTGTCTTCTTTGAGTTTTTCTGTTGATCAACGTAGCTAAATCTTTTGCCCAAAACTTGCTCACATATTTCAGATTCTTTCAAAAGTATAGGTTGTTCATTCGGGTCAATTTGAGAATTATGTTATGTAAAAGATCGAGCATTTGATTCTACGGACATGTAAATTATAAATAAAGATTAGAATTTTGAAATATAAATTATATCATTATGACAAATAAACTAGTTACATAATGAGACTCCGCTTCTTTAGTTGTCCACCCGCGTTCATTGCTACAATGTATCTCATAGAAAAATTTGATGTGACCTAATAGCTCTTTTGTAAGCGGATCCCCTGATTAAAAAAACATAGAATTAATGTATGAAATTCATGGAATAAAATATTGCATCATTATTTATGACTTACCATTTCATTTGCATGTGCAGCATAAGATTTCGATACTTGAAGAGTTGCTAATATTTATTTTGCACGATTTGCTTTGCTGACTTCAGACTTTTTCAGCAAAAGCATATTTATCACAATAACAATCAAATCAAAAAATCATATGAATTGAAATACACATAAACTAAAGAGGAAAGCACTTGGAAACGCACTCCAAAAACAACAAAGATAACAATACTAAGAGCTGACCCAACTATAACACCCATCAAAAGGGTTCCAATTAACAACTATATAGAAAGAATAATTGCAAGTTGCAAATCTACTTGTTCGATGAATTTCCTTTCAATTAAGGCATAGATTTCTTCAAGAACGTGCAATAAGATAGTATTATTGAACAGTACTAACTTTCTGTTGAGTTTAGAGACCCAAAATAA